AATAATGATGATCCCCCCTCATTATACTGTTAATTTCAGCACTAAGGACATCTATAAGTCTAAGACTGCCATCTAGTGGAAATGGGGTGCTGAGACTAGCTGCCCATCAGTAAATATTAGGCTAGCATGGATTTAATATTCTCCTGTTCCCTTGGTGCATGACAGTGCTCTTCTGCACCTTCTTGGTGTGCCAACAGTGATGAACAGAGTTTCTCTCTTCAGCAGAGAAAGGAGAACAATTTTCTTAATTTCATCCCATGCACCTGACAAGACCAGTGGATCATTTGAAAGCACATTCTGTCAGGGGGAAAAAGGAAGTTAGTGGACAAAGTCTCATGAGTAGCAACCTTGCAGATTAAGAGTATATAAAATACTGCTGAGAGAGTCCCAGCAAAAAGGAATTCCTCTATAAAAGACAATGGGATAATATTAAAGAAATAGCTGTTGCTTCATTTGGGGCCACTTCAAGATGGATATACGGTGTAGGGCTAAATAGGAAAGCATACATAAAAAAAAGAAATACAGAGAAGAAACAAGGGCTACGTCTAGACTGGCATGATTTTCCGCAAATGCTTTTAACGGAAAAGTTTTCTGTTAAAAGTATTTGCGGAAAAGAGCGTCTAGATTGGCACGGATGTTTTTCCGCAAAAGCACTTTTTGCAGAAAAGCGCCCATGCCAATCTAGACGTGCTTTTGCGCAAAAAAGCCCCGATCGCCATTTTCGCGATCGGGGCTTTTTTGCGCAAAACAAATCTGAGCTGTCTACACTGGCCCTTTTGTGCAAAAGCTTTTGCACAAAAGTACTTTTGCCCAAACGGGAGCTACATAGTATTTCCACAAGAAGCACTGATTTCTTACATGAGATCGTCAGTGTTCTTGCGGAAATTCAAGCGGCCAGTGTAGACAGCTGGCAAGTTTTTCCGCAAACGCAGCTGATTTTGCGGAAAAACTTGCCAATCTAGACACAGCCAAGGTGTTTAAGTAAAAGTAAACTCAGAAGCAAAAAGGAAAAATAGATACAAACTAGAGGACTAAAAAAGGATAAAAACAAGTTTATAAACATGGTAGCAGCAAGAGGAATGCTAGGCTATCAAAGGGAAGGGAATTATTCATGTAACAAAAGGTATGCAGAAGGCTAACTGCTCAACTTTAAGGGCCAAAGAAACAGGAGATGCAGGGCATTTCTTCACTATAGGCTGGATCAATGGGGCAGTGATCTATCTAGTGGGAGTTGATTTATTGCCCGTCGACTCCGTTATTCCACAGAATGAGAAGAGTAAGGGGATTTGAAAGGAGCTTTTTTTCTGACAACCCAGGGTAATTTGGACCCTATGGTAAGTAGATCTAAGTGATGTCGATTTGAGTTATACTACTAACACAACTCAAATTGCATAGCTTAGATTTACACTACAGGGACAGATTGACCTGCCCATAGAATCAAGGAATGTTGGAAAATAGGATTATTAGGAGGCAAATACCAGAATACATTGATACTATTTATTTGTACATATTTATTTATATATAATTGCAATTTTGACCATAAATGTACAATACGTTTTCTGAAATTATCACAGAAACGTCATCCCATTTCT